GTCAACTACTGACGAAAATATTAAAAAAGTACTTGATTTAATAATGGGAGACCGCAGATTAAAAATTAGAGAGATAGCCGAGATTAGAGGCATCTCTTATGAACGAACTCAAAACATCATTGTCAACGAGTTGGGTTTCCACAAGGTATCTGCGAGGTGGGTTCCGCGACTGCTTTCAGTTGAACAAAAAAGGACGCGATTGACTATTTCACGCGACTGTTTGGAGTTATTTGAAGCCGATGCAGATAATTTTTTCAATCGTTTTGTTACTATGGACGAAACATGGGTTCATTACTGTACACCGGAAACAAAACAACAATCAAAACAGTGGAGAAGACCTGGTTCACCACCCCCTAAAAAGGCTAAGTCGATTTTGTCGGCAAATAAGGTGATGCCTTCAGTATTCTGGGACTCGAAAGGTGTGATTATGATTGATTATCTTGAAAGGGGTCAGAATATAAACTCTGATTACTACTGCACCTTACTACGTCGTTTACGAGAGGAAATAAAAGAAAAACGTCGAGGAATGCTCAGAAGAAAAGTCCTGTTTCATCAAGATAACGCCCGTGTTCACACGTCAGTACAGTCAATGGCTGAAATTCACAACTGTGGCTTTGAACTGTTACCGCATCCGCCGTATTCACCTGATCTGGCACCATCAGACTTCTTTCTGTTCCCTAACCTAAAAAAGCACTTGGGAGGTCAAAGATTTTCGACAAACGACGAGGTCAAAGCAGCTGTAGACGCATATTTTGACTCTAAGGAAGAATCATTTTTTTTCAACGGTCTAAATGCTTGGAAGGGGAGGTGGCAAAAGTGTATTGAACTTGATGGTGATTATGTAGAAAAATAAAAATATAACTGATTTAGTATTTGTTTATTTTCTTGGTTAGGCCGAGTACTTTTCAGTCCACTCTCGTAATATAGGTTAGATCGACAATCTAAAAGGTGGGATTTGACTTTTCTCATTCATATAGTTACGTTACGAAATCTAAAATATAAAAAATTTTTTTTGTTCGTATTTTATGCGCTGCCATACCGTTCATCATATTGCGGTAAAACTTTGTCAACTGATTGCTTGCATTTGCACGAAGATTAAAGCCATAGTACAATTAACTTACAGATGGCGCACGTATCGTACCGACAAATTTATTTGAAAGTTACATATCATTCAACTTCAATGAATGTATTATCATTGCTAATTAACCAATATAACTCTTCCAAATTTAAAACGATATTTCCACAATTATTTCTGCTGTGGCAGCAAGGCGCCGGGTACCAGCTAGGTTATTTGTACAATATTTGTACACTTCATATATTTATAAGATTAATTTTACGTTGAATGAAAAATTACTTTTAAAAAATACTTACTTTTATCAATATGTCAACAAAGCGAATAAAAACAAAATAATATTGCATTTGTGAGTACGTGATCACAGTATTGAGACTGTATAAACATACCGAATACAAACGTTGTCGACAATTTCTAAAAACAAAGATTAGTGTATGCATATGAAAATCAAATTCAAAACACGGGAAACGATATGATACCAATATCTAACTTGTTATTTCATCACTACGTCCAGGGTTGCCTGATTAGAATACCTAATATTTTGTAAAATTTTTCATAGATAAGATTATATTATAAGACCTAAACGGATAAAATAATTATAAATTAGTTTTTATAATTTAACGTGATAATTTGCATCTAAGTATCAATTGAGTGTTTATCAAATCTGACCTTTTAGGTAGTCGCGAGTATAATAAATACCTTATATTGTATATTTCCGTAACCTTTTTTGCATTCGTGTTTCTATTATAGTTATACAAAACAAAAAAGATGTATTTTAGTCTAGTATCCATTAATAGTTGCGATAAGAGATATTATAAAAAACATGTTCTTATGTACTTATCTCAGAACAAAAAAGAACGGTAGACATTTCACTACATACATTTCGAGTGACGCTAAAACCATACTAATTTCTTGATACTCACTCACACATACATCTTTCTTCTTTCTTTCTTCTCTTTATTGGCTTGTAAAAGTTAACTGATGTATGCACAACATGCACTTAAAACCATGAACCATGTTTGTACAATATTTTAGATGTTTGTGTGAGTGTCCGTTCTTTTATTAAGTAGAACATAACATAGGCGTTACTTGAGATGTACACTACACTGTGTTCAGTCTATCTCACTTTGTTGAGCTGAGACACTTAATACAAGAAACATTGACAACATTTCGTAGCAATCTGCATAAGAGGGAGGCATAGTGTTATTTATGGTTTTTATTGATCTATTATCTTATATTATTTCTATGCTGCTGATATTTTTGATTTGACTAGCCCATTCCAAGATATGCACGAGTTTAATTTCCAAAACTATAATTTAATACAATTTAAAAATGCAATGTTTAATGTGTGGCATATTTTCAAATATATTAAATTATTTAACAAACGCTACTGAACCGTTAATACTATAACATTAGGCCTGTTAGTAATTATTTAATTGAATAATAAATACAAATTATTTCTAGGCTCTTATGATTATTATTTCTTCCAACATTTTTTTTTCTTTACAGTATATAACACACGTTATATACTATAAATATTTACTCAAATTACGCGTAAACAAAGCGTATATAAATAACGATCGGCTGTAAATCATGCATGCTAACAAATTAAAACGATAGATCGGTTGTAGTATGAAATTCATTACGAACGAACGATTAATCGCAATTAACATAAAATGAAGGTTCATTAGAAAATAATAATATTGATATTCAATAAAAAAAATACCACACATATTAAAATATGTGATTTAATTTTTTCGATTGGAGGATTTAGAAATCAAAATTTCTAAAGCAAGCACCGATAGAGGTATAAATTAACGTAAGAATATTTGAAGTTTGGGCAAGTTGAAAATATTAGACTATCTTTGGACCGAGTGCAGAATTGTAACATTTAAGATTAAAATCAATTGTAATAGTGAGTGCGGCAAAATTTATAATTATATATTAGTCTTCCTTGGCGCTATGCTTAACAAAATAAATGATACAAGCATCCCTTATATGGCGTTTTATTACCGCACTCAATAAATCAATCATGTGTTCAGATTCATTTAATATTTTAGCCACCGGAGATTTATTACGTTGTAGTAATATACATATAATTTATATATGCGTCAATTTTCAAAATAATATTTATAAATGCAATACTTTTCACGCGGCCAGAGTCGAACCAATCTATTGATTGTGCTGTGCCTTCAAAATAAAGAAAGCGACGTAGCGATCCCAACTTCTGTATGAATCTTACCAAAGAAGCGAACGACCGCGAACGTTGGCGCTCTTAAACGTAAGACTTTAAAGCGTGTTAACTTTTTATTAGAAAACTAGCGATCCGCCCCGGCTTCGCGCAGGTGATTTCTGGATCTCCACAACAGTGCCAGCTATTGGTTCCAATTGTGAATCTAAACCATTTAGGGACCCATTCATACACACACAAAAGTTTCATCAAAATATGTCGATCCGTTTTCAAGTTTTAGCGATACTACTAATATTTTATTTGAAAATGAACCTTTTCTTTAATTTAACAAGAACAAAATTAACGATTTCGAAAAACTGTTTTAAACTGTTTTAATAATCGAGTTTTTATATTGTACTTAACGTAACGTCACACTGTTTATTATGGTGAAATTTTGCATTGCTATTATCATTATATATAAAAATCTATTGCTGTCCGTCAGTATCGCTAAAACTCGAAACTGGCTCGAACGATTATGATGAAAGTTTTGTGTGTGTTTGAGTGGGTCTCTGGATGGTTTATATTCACAATTAGACCCGGTAGGTGGTGCTGTTATCGAGATCCAGAAATCACCCGTGCGAAGCAGGGGCGGATCGTTAGTTTTAATACAAACATTGTGTACAATATGCATAGTTAAGCCGATGATAATACAGTAGAAATATATTTACAAAAATGTGTTACATTATACGTAACAATTGATTGTATCGAGTCTGCTCACACTTCTTTGCTTTAAAATCAGTTCTGTTATAGATTTAGCTAATATTTGTAATTTAAATGTTTTGTAAATATATAATTATTACGTAAAATATGTATATATTAAAACACAATTTATATTTTATGTACTAACTTAACTTGTAATACAATGTTGTATTTTAATTACAAATATAACACCAAAATATATAACTCAACCGATATGAAAATATTGAAGTACCCGCAGTCTTGTAATAAATCAATTATTACGCATTCCGTTAGTTATAACCATATAAATGATTTATGTGTTAACAGTGTTATTTGGAACTCTATTTCGGTACTAAATACATGATGTATAATATCATTTTCATAAACGTCATTTAGTTAAAAGCAAAAAATCTTCACTCGGTCTAATGCCACGTTTCTATAACCTATGGCAACAGTATCTAGAAATGCGAATGGGCAAAGCTTATAATATACAAAATGACAAGAAACACCAGGTCATCGAGTTGTTGTACGTACAGTAACAGCCATTTCTAATTTGTTCTCTTCTCTCTTCTTTAAGCAGGCCTGTAAATAACAAGTGTTAAAATTTAAAATTTTGTACAACCGACTTAAATATAAATAAAATGAGAATATCATTAACATACTCGACGTCCATTAAATACGCATTATTAAGGATAACTCAAAACTATTGGTCAGGTCTTGATCAAATTAATATGGGACCACATGAGAAGCGCCAGATTTCAAATAATAAAAGAATAATCAAAATCGGTCTAACCTAGAAGTTTTGAGGTAATACACAAAAGCAAATACAGTCAAATTGGCAACCTCCTCCTTTTTTTGAAGTCGGTTGAAAATAGATATATAAAAAAACTGCGGTTCTCAACCCGCCTGCCAAGCGTGGTAACTATGGCAAATATCGTCCCTATTAGTCTATGAAGGAGGACTATATTCAGCAGTAGGCTTTTAATAGGCGATAATGAATGAGTGAAAGAATATAGACCTTTAGTGCTTGGTGTGGAACTCATTGATGCAAAGTGCACACGACCAGGAGCCCTCAGGTGGGGTTTCCAACGGTGGCGCCAGGCAATACATGTGGTAGCCGCGGTCGCAATCGTCGCAGAACAACAACTGGTCCTGAAACACCACACAACCATTACAAACATATCTACATAATATAAATTAGGCGAGGTACCTAATCTCTTGCGGACTGTCTTAAGCTGTTTACGCTAACAATTTGTGCCACAAACATATTGTTCGTTTTCAAGTCTTGAAATTTTCTTCGTGTTTCTGTCACTATATCCTACTCGATCTCGGCTTGATTAAGTCATCTTCTGAGTCCTCCTCCGCCACAAATTGGTGGGAACCCGTATGTATTGGTAGGTTGCGGCAAGAGGGGTGTCCTTTTCCCCCCACCATCGCATTATGAAAATAAGAGTTTGCCATGCGTGAGATTCTACACGGTGTGTATTATACCCACGAAGCAAATACAAAGAGGAGATGGCATAAGCAACTGTGCACTGTGTCGTGTGTATTTTCATGTTATTAAGAAGAAAAGGATGAAGTGTTGTGTTTCATCGTGTAAAAACTACTCAGATAGACGCTCTGCTGCTATGGATGGCATCACATTTCATTTGTAAGTAATTTTATACCCAATTTATTAAAAAGGTTCTAGAAAAATCTCTGCGTCGGTTTTCAAATGTAATTAAATATATTCGACACTAGATAGCGATACTTTGTGTCATGGGAACTAAAAAGATAAAGGTATGTAGAGCTCAATATTGGTAAAATAATCATACGTAGGTGTTGAAATTTGTTTTGCATTCAGTCCTAACGAATTTTTAATCGCTAAAATATTATTTTTATAGTTTTCATAATCATTTTGTGAACAGGCCGTCATTTATCGTCAAGGTACCTAAACTACTTGCAACATCGATATGGAACGATGCGAGTAGTTTTACTATTTATCGGTAGATGGAAAATAGTAAAGTGGGCGGGGCATAACATCCTCTCACACCGCAAATTGTCACGCGTTGTTACATAGTGAAATCTAATTACAACGCCTCCTCTTTGTATTTGCTCCGTGATTATACCGGAGATTAAAAAAAACAATATACTATGCTTGCACTGATGTGTTCCGTTCTAAAGTTATAGAGAGCTAATATAGTTTGCTGTGAGGCAATAGATATTAGTCCTAGAGGTTGTCTTGAAGTTGGCTGCAGGTGTCCATGGACTGCTGTAGCCACTTACCATCAGGTGGACTGAAGTTCGTTAGTCACTTCAGTTTTATTAGAAACTAGCGATCCGCCCCGGCTTCGCACGAGCGATTTCGGGATCTCGACAACAGCGCCATCTGACTGGTCCAAATGTGAATCTAAACGATCTAGGGACCCATTCAAACAAATAAAAAACTTCATCAAAATCCGTTGCGTAGTTTAAAAGATTTAAGCGTACAGACGGCGGGAAGCGACTTTGTTTTACACTATATAGAGATGAGAAAAATCAACAAAGAATAATAAACAGATAATGAATTTGGTAATTTAGTGACTTGCTGCACTTCGCTAGGAAATGAAATTCTTTGCTGGCCGCAGAGCATTTGGCCTTAAATATCCTTAAAAAGAGTGAATAGGCATTTTCTAACTATAGTTCATTAAACAGGATCTTTTCATCTTACCAGGTGGAACTTCAGTCAAAAGTGTGCCGAATTCATAATAAAAGAAATTCAAAAATTACATACACATACGTAATATGTGAGGTAATAGACGTTTTACTTACATCATTGTCGCTATTTCCGCAAACCGAGCAGCATTTGCACTCGATGCATTGCCAGCGATACTTGCGCACGGACACGATCATGTTCACAGTAAACTGTAGACATGTCGGGTGACCTGCACAATGAATATTTTGATCATACGTAGATAATGAAAGAGCAACCATTTTGAAATTATATAGTGGACGACATTAATTGACAATAATGTTTCATTAAATAATTCTACTAATTATTAACTAAATACTAAATTTAATGGACCAATAATTTAGGCAAAATAAGCGTCACCTTTTATGTGTAAGAACTTAATTGGTTAAGAAGAAAAATTTTAGAAATAAAATTGACTGGCTATATAATATTGCGGAAGCGAGACAGCGCTACTATCATACAGCCGAAAAACGTGTCTTGTTTCTGTTGTTTTCCTTTTCATCGAACATCGAAGAATATAGATAGAGATAGGAAATATATACTTCATTATATATAGGACTATCTCCTAAATACAGGTTAGTAGGTAACCTAGCTAGGAGACTCGGGATTCTACCCGTTTCAAATTGGTACTGAGCATTTAATTCGATTAATGTCGTCCGACATTAATATTTTCACGTATTGTAGGGCACATTTCTTACCTTATAGTGAATCACGCGCTATCTTCTCGTCAGTAATCGTATCACACATAAAGAAATAAAATTAAGGTCGAAAAGGGGTTTTATAATGTGCCGAACAATAGTGAAAATAAACAAAACAAAGCTCCGCGACCAATTAAAACAATCACGCGTTCCCATATTATATTCAAAGTATCACAACATTCGTAAGGAAGTGCACGACTATTCACTATTCTTCAGCACAGCACAATGAAAAGCCAAGTGACTTTCAACGTTTTAATGTTTATAAAATTCACGGTGTACAAAATAAGAACAGCGATAATATAGAAGGTTAAACAACATGTAGTCTGCAAAAACGTCAAATCTTTTGCAATCAGATGAAATAATGCAAATTCAACGAGTATTGTTCTCGTTGTATGTAACAGTAACTATAGCTATTAGCAGTTGATGTGGTGAACAATATTTTCACAGACTATATGAGGTTCACTGCAAACAAGATTTATCAATCTATAACATATCTTTGGGCGTCGCTACAAATGCACTTCCATACTAACATTTTTGATACTTTGGAATAATTTATAACTGTCTGTTTTTAGCAGATATATATGAGACCATCAAATATATAACTTAGTTTTAACATGTATTTAATGTTACATTTAAATCACGTTTTCTAATTATATTACATTCTATGGGACTTACAACATGATACATATTAGAGATAAGACAAAAAAAAAAATCACTGATATGCCACTATGAGTCTAAATTTTTAACGATTATAGGGATATTTCTAAATATTGAAATAATTTTCTTCTTTAAACCATAAGATTAACATAGTATTTAATAACTTAAATAAAAAATTTAAAAAAAAACGAAACAAAAAAGAGCTGTTAATCTTCAAACGGCTGAACCGATTTTGATAAAACATGTCTAAGAACCAACGCTAGAATGCTTTTAAGTAAAAAAAAAAAACACCCAAATCGGTTCACCCGTTTAATAGCTACGGTGTCACAGGCAGACACTCATAGGGGTCAAACTTACAACACCCCTGCGTCAAAGAAAAGAAACATGCGTCAAAACAAAGGATACACGATTGAATAAAACTAATTGAACGTATTTTACAGCGTTTAATTTAAACTTATTTTTTTAATTCCTGAAAATTCGAGTGCTTCGCAGCACTCAGTTTCACGAGACGACTTTAAAACGTTTAAACGTTGAAAATTAAAAAAAAGATTTAAATTTAAACGCGATAAAAGTAGTGTGGTATTCGCGTAAATATAAGAATCATTACGATAAACATAAAATAATGTCACATTATAGCGATTTATATTAATTTCAATTGATCAACTAGCGTAAATTTGAATTTAGGTTTTCTTTCCTAAATAAATAAAAAAAGAGAAAATTTCAAACAAAATTGCACACTATTAGGCACCAGAATATAAAAAATAAATTACTTAAAACCTGGCAAATTTGAGACTGATCAAGTTTAAAATTAACTGGGTAATTTTAATATCAATTGTCAATAATGAATTCAATTTATAATTATGCACATTGCACAATCAATTGAAAACGTTGATAGATATAAAAAAAGATTTTCAAATATTTTAATTTCCCTAAATCAACATTGATGCAAGCAGCATACCTTGGTAATTAAAACTACATGTTTATATATAATTAAACTACAACTTTACATAATGTTAAAGAGATATATTTCGAATTGTCATAGCATATAATCTTTTTATTTATTATGTGTAAATAAAACTTAATACCAAAAAATTTAAAACTAAAATATACTATATTATACTTAATTTTAAACAAACAAACAAAAACAATTATTATAAACTACAGGAATGATAGAATTCAATAATTATTAATAACGATGTATTAGTCTTTAGTCAATAATAAAAACCTAAAAATTTAGGGGAAAACATGTCATTGACTTTTTGTTGGGTGATGAGTCAACTATGTTTATAAATTTATCGAACATATAAGTAATTTATGTCGTCACTTAAAATTGTACATATTATGCATATAATATGTTTATATATTCTGTTTACATAATATAAGTGAATAGAAATATAATCATAAGCTATATTTTTCGATATTTTACAAATCATATTATGTGGTATACATTTTAAAAAGATTAAAAAAGCTATAAATTAATAAAGGAAAAATATTCCAAAAATTGCAAGCCAGTGTAAATAGTAAGTTCTGCAAATCTTTCTAATAAATAAAATCAACAAATGTTTATTCCAAGTTGACGATATCGGCCCTAACTCATAGAAATTGACGTCAGTTTGAGTAACGCTTAAAAAGTAGCTCTGTCTCTCTCCCTCTTTCTCCACACTCTCTCTTTCTTTCTCTCTCTTTCTCTCTTCACTAAATGACAATAGGAAAAAAAACATGTAGAGATAATTAACACTTAAGCAAGCGATAGTTAACTATTACAAGCAGAGCCGATATTATTTTTTTGCTATGTTTTAAAAGTTTTAAAAATTATTAAGAATTAGGTGCGTCTTATAAGGACTCTTGACAATATCAATCAACAAAAAGCCTATATGAGACATATTCTAAAAAGTCGAAATATAAAATTTATCTTTGGGTTCTCTTTACTACTTGGTTTTCAAATCAACAACACACACGCATAAATATCCGCACAAAACTTAGGCACTTCACAAGCTCTACAGTTAATTATTATTATTATAATTAATCAATATTGCTTTTAAATGCCCAATGGGTTGTGATATGTCTCTCAATGATATGGTGTACACCCACTGTGATTAAAGATATTAAATTTTAAGCTCTTCGATCTTCATCAATTATATTTGATTAATAAAACAATGTCAAAACAAATAAATATTATCCTATTATTTCTTGTTGGTTAAAGAATTACGCGTAAACATCAACACGTGAACATCGTAAATTGAAGTACCTTTTTTAGGATTTTTTTAAAAGGACAGGAATGCACATGATTATTCCGTATAAAAAGCTTTAACTAATCAAATAAACGAAAAATCATTTTGATCACGTTCACAGCTAAGAACCCTTTGCCTTTCAGGCACGGGAAGATTAAAAAAAAGTTATACAAACAAATTCTTAGCGATGTTTCTACACGATTGCTTGAAGTTTGACTACATGCGATACCAGTAATTTTAGTTCTGTATGCATATAAAACACATTAAGAGAGTATGTATATATTACAAATAGATAAAATTATCTATAGCAAGAAAAACCATTAAATTATTTAAGCACATATTATGCAAAAGAGAATGTAGATAAATAATATGATGTTATACAAAAAAAAAATGAAGCGAAAAACCTGATAATGACAATATCTGTGTGCATTTATGACTTAATTTGGTGACTCGTGACTAGATAAGCTAAGCTAGGATTAGATGTATTTGGTTCTGTGGTAGAAGTACATCATAAAATTTACGAAACATACATATATTACATACGAATTGCTAAAATAACTTTGATACAATATTATACTCATCAAAGCAAAACAAGGTTGCCATAAATCTAAAAAATATTAATTACAATTGCATATATTGCTAACAAGCAATCTGTTGTCTATAAGAGAAATGAATATAATTATAATTATCTTCGCAAAATAAAATTTCGTACGTTAGAAAATTTGTAGTTTAACCTTATAAAACCAATGTTACCTTAAAAAAGAATTAACACTAAAGGAGTAAATATGAATACTTATAAGTATGTATATGTAATATTTTTAACATTTCTGGATAAAATTATATTAAAAATCGAAGGCACATTTCCACCAATGGGAAGACAAATGAATGCCTAAAAAGGTTTTAAATATTACAACAGACAAAACAATAATTTATTATTTGGCATCCAACCTCACAATATTTAGTTTTCTATCATGGCAGCATTAGTATAACAATTTATTTTATTTAACTTACATACATAAGTAATAAATGGTAATTTTATATTACTATATTTTGGCAGTCAATAATAGGATAAATTTGTTTTACGAATTTGTAAAACAACGCAACATTATTCTGGTTAAAGATGCTCAATGGTCCATCAACAATAAATACTTAAGTTAGTTATTTATACAACAATATGCAGACGAATTTGATACTTTTTGCAAAAAAGGACCAAATGTATATTCAAGTTCTGCATATATAAACGAATATATTATGAAGTTACCTATTAAAATGTCCCGTGTATGGAATGTTCTTTGAATGTAATTATCTAACCTCTCATCCTACTGTCTTAATAAATCATCAAATTACCTCGCTGATAACTTTAAAGCAGTTATACAACAATGTGATCAATATATCACTTTTAAAAAAATATAAATTATATCAAGTACTCTAATTACAATGTCAATTATAAAACTTACCAAATTTTATTACATAATCAAATAATTTACTATGGCGATAAAAACCAATAGGATTGTTGTAATTGCATAAAATCTTGATAAAATATTGAACAGTGACCGCTAAAATCTTTTGTCTATGACGTGTAATATATAAGATCGTTAGTGCCCACATACGCACTTTCACCTCCATTTCCCTACTTTGTAGAACTCCTTCTCTGCCTAAGGCCCAGGAGTCTGTTTGCGTGAATAGCAAATAGCAGTGCTTACACTTCTGTATTGTGGTTTGAAGGATAGAGAGCCAGTATAATTTACGGGCTAGGAAGCATATTAACATCTTAGTCCTTAAGGTGTCAATGCATCCTTGGACTGCAATGGTCACTTTTCATCAGGTGGACGGTAAATTCGTCTACCACTTCAATTTTCAAAACGCTATCGTGACTAAAAGACGATTTTAATGGTTTTCAATAAGAAAAATACATTTAATCAACATAATATCTTTGTTGTATAAATATTTAATTCAAAAGAGATTTGACACTATTACAGTACTGTGAACTCTGTAAAATTTTAAAGAGCCACTCTGGGTTTCTTACCAGGGCAGAGGTTATGAACCATTGGTAAGAGTATCATCTAAAGTTTTATTTAAAATTTATATTGAATCAATTAAAGTAGCATAATAATGACCGCCATAAGTGAAATAATGCGAGTAGGAGTTCCAAACATTTTGGGTACAACAGTAATGTTTAATAGTGTTTATATATTATATTATCGTGATATAAAAATACGTTAACCGCACATCTTTGGTAAAAAGCAATGAAGTATTTATAACACTGTTTTATGCGAAAAACACATTTTGAGACCACTAATAAAACTAAACTAATACTCAAACATTGTCAAGCGTTGCACAGAGGCCGATTTTTAAAAGTAATTTAAATAGAAAATCTAAATTATGTAAACTTATTTTGTTGCTTGGGAGATAATAACTAAACTAGTTTGCGAATTATGCATTGTGTTTAAAAAATAAAGGAAAAAACAACTTTAAGCTTAATCTATAATTGTAAATATGAATGTAAAATATTCGAGTGAATATAAACAAAACTATAACATTAAACAATAATTGTTAATATAAGCAATTATACTTTATCATCCAGCCTGCATTAACCTAAATATTCGGTACATTTGTACCATTCATTGCATGAACCTCAGTAAGAGTACTATCGTAGGCTGGGCTCTGACGTGATGATGGAGGTGATACAGGATACTCTCCGTACTCATGATTCTGCAGCAATTTGGTCTGACTAGCGAAAGTATCAAAATCGTCTGCGGGATACGACATGGAGCTAAGAATTTCTACAACTCCGTTGAACTTTATATTATCTTTTAAATGCCTATGGCGCTCACAGACACGGTTTATTACGTGGAAACAGGGTAAAGGTTTGCGTATGCCATTCCGTGGTGGTCTTCCACGTCTCTTACCTGACCGTCCGCAGTCGGAACAGCTGACTAATTCTTCTGGTGTTCCAGTCTTTTTATTCTCACGGTCATCACCGAGACAGAAGTCACAGTATGGCGACGGTGATGCCTGAAAGAAAATAATAGTATACAGTATACAATACCAAGTTTTACCAGACCTGTCTCACTCCGCGCTTTAGGCATGAAAATATACGCGCGGCTACAAGGGACTATTCCATGAGGTTGTGACGCGCGCCTTACATTAACATAATTTAAAATTAAAAATTTTGTACAACCAACTTCAATATAAATTATTAAGAATACTCAAAAAATATTAATCAGACCTTGATCAAATTTATATACCACATGTAAAGCACCGGCTTTAAAAAAAAATCATCGAAATCGGTTCACCCAGTAAAAAGTTACAAGGTAATACACATAAAAAAAAACATACAGTGGAATTGAGTACCGGATCCTTTTTGAAGTCGGTAGAAAAAAGTATTTTTCTCTTATATATATTTAGGCAATTTTGATATGAATTTTTGAGTTTTTATTAAAGGTAAAAAGCCTCTCAAAAAGCCAAAAGGTACTGCATAGCATACGGGTGCTTAAATAACAAGAGGAATGTCGACTTTTCATACTTTACTGTACCTAAGGATACCGAAAGGTAAGATATCTCAGCTCATTTGGTACCTTGTTATTGACACCATAGTTACAGATTTATTATTTGATTAGCGACCCGACCACAGCTTCGCAGTTTTCGATTTTTTTCGCGTATAATGCCAATGACCTTAAAACACGTTCAGTGTAAGTAGACCTGCCAGTACTAGTGACTGCCGACTAATGCAAGATCAGCATATTATACTGGATATTAGTTTAACACTTAGTCGATAAAAGAAAGAGATTGAAAATAGCAGCACTTCTCATTGCCACTCTTTCATTAATACTGAAGTGGCGTGTTGCATGTTCGTAAATAGCAAAAAATGTGAAACAGACAAGTGGTGTTATTAAAAATTTTGTACAACCCACTCCAATATAAATAAAATGAGAACATCATCACTGTAGTCGAAGTCAATTAAATATGCATTATTAAGGATAACTCCAAAACTACTCAACAGATGTTGATCAAAATATGGGACTAGATGAGAAGCACCAGCTTTCAAGTTCTGAGGTAACATACATAAAAAATATAGTCGTATTGACCTCTTCCTTTTTTTGAAATTGATTAAAAATGTTAAGTAGGTAACGTTCTCGTTGTTATAATCTTAATTTTTCTCGATGTTGCATATTAACTTTCCTCACATTGAAAAATAATGTTCTTATTATCAGCAAATTAGTAATACATTGTATAACACCTCAGTGTATTCTACTACCAACTAATATCAAAGGATTCAATTTGTTTTCTCACAACACCTAACCCTACGTAGGAGCGTCTTTACGCACGTGGACGTAAGGTGCATTTTGATTTAAGTGCGCTGCAACAATCAGTAGGCTATTTTAACGAATAGGCATAACGGCGCTAATGTGCATAACGTGCAGGCAAGCAAAGTATTATGAACATTAGCGACGTTGTAACTAGGTTTAAACTCGGCTTTTTAAATGTTTAATTATTTTGTTGTTGTTATTAGTACGCCGCTGCTGCCCATCTTTTGGTTTGTTTCCCTCTATTGCCTCCTACGACACGCGACGATATTGGGTCAAAATAAAGTATAAAATAGAACAATAAAAAATATCAGTTTGTATTAAATATCACGTTAAGTCTAATTTATTGACTATTTGAATATTTTATTGAATTAATGGGGGTCAAATACCGCTTAATAATATATGTGTAAATATATACACTAGCGGTGTGATGCCTTTCTCTTTTCCGGACTTGACTGATTACTGTCGGGTGTCTAGATAAAAATAACAGCAAATTAATTATAATACAGTGGATTTCGGGTATAACGTCGATGAAGGGACCACTCTATTTTCGTCGTTATATCCGGAAGTCGTTACAGGCAAAGATAACAAATTCAATACATTGCAGTTGCTACTCAGTATATCACTTTGTAACTGAACCATAAATTTAACTCCGAAACGTACATGCTTCTCTACCTACTTAGCTGATATTTATAAACAAAAGGTAAAGGTCTTCACACTTGCTGACCATCTGTGTGGATGTAAACAAAAGATAAATGTTTGTGAAAGAAAAAAATCTTTGTGTCTTTGACGGCCGACTCCGGTCGCAATATTTGCACGGTATTTCTAGAAATTTGTTACAAATGATTCATTTAAAACAGTCGTTATACCCGAACTCGGCGTTACATCCAAAGTCGCTATAGCCACATGAATTTTGTACTAAAATATGATTTAAATTCAAGGGACATAGATTTAACGTCGCTATAGGCAAATGGTCGCTACAACTAAGGTCGTAATAAATGAAATCCACTGTATATCTAGTCTTCATTGTTATTAAAAGGATTTTCTGGTGATAGGACTCATTTTCAGTTAAAGAGTCCGTCCGTGTATGTAAACTAAACAGCAGCGTTTGCCTTATTGTGTATAATTAATAGCTGGGACGCGTTCCAACTTAGTCCTCAGAGGTGACAATGCACCTCTTATTTGAAATTGGCTACTAGTATCCATGAACTGCACTAGCCATTTATTATCAGATAGACTGCAAGTTTGTTTGTCACTTCAATTTTAAGTTAAAAAAAGAAGAAAATACATTAAATAAAGGAGGTAATACCTTGGTTTTAGGCTCCTTCAGCACGGGCATGATGCTCGCTGCAGCGGGTGCGGATACGGAAGCGACAGGAGCGGGGACAGCGGGAGCGGCGGGGACGGTGGGGGCGGCGGGGGTAGGGGTAGGGGTGGGAGCGGGTGCGGGGGCGGCGGCCGCGGTGCCCGGCGCCACGAGCGGCGCGTGCGCGGAGTCCGACGACGACGTGTCCGCGGAAGCCGGCCGCGGTGGAGGCGAAGGCTTACGCGCGCCCGGTGTGGCTACGGTTGCTATAAACAACAATACTAGGAATATAACATTTTAACGTGGTAGAACCATGCTGCAGCTATATTAGTAGTATAGTTGTAGCACGAATGGGTCGGCTCCACCGGGGAAGGACCACGCTCTCACAGAATACAAATGTAAAATAGCGGCTCTACGTTGCTGTGCTTCGTTTGTGAGTGTAGAGAACCGGAGACATATTTTACTGGAAACAAGGCATTCCATCTTAGTTCTCACGATTTTGAAAATAGATATAGATGTCTATGGGCCACAGCAACCACTTACCATCAGATGGACTGTGTGCTCTTTTGTCACCCTTATCCTATAAAAAAATGCACACATGGCCAAATACTTAAATGCTACTCAATTTTAAGATGCCACTAAAACTCGTGGTGTCACAGTCACTTTAACTTAAAATGATAGAGACAGCACGAGACACAACGACATCTTAAACATTAAGCAGAGTTTAAGAGTATTTGGGCAAGAAATCATTTAAGAATTAACACATTCCAATCTTAACTCAGGCATATGATCGTAAATTCGCTTCAGAAACCCTGGGATCTTTGTTTAACGATCAGGCCACCTAATTGTACCTGTATACAAAGTGACGATGAAGTTATCACGTTAAATGAAAAGACGTATTCTATACAAAGTTCTTTAAACATACACAACTAAAAAAATATATAACAATTAACATTCTGGGCGCGGTAGCCTTTTTTTTGTTTTAATATTAAACAACATCATGTAAATGCATCAGATATCACCTGATAAATACTAGAAGTTCAAAGACCCATGGCCCGTGAAGGCCAAGAGATCTATATTGTATTATAGTGCAACGTTGCCAATTTTAAATAATCAAATAAAGTAATAAATTAAGCAAAAAATGTACTTATAAGTAACAAAATAAGGCATAATTCTTATGCGCGATGCGACAAGAATTGGGACGGGGTGTTGGGAGGGTGGGATGTGGTCGATTGGCGCGTGCGACGATAACAGTAAGTCACTTAGTCCGACGCCGGCGTCCTTGGGAACGGTTCATTAATCGCTTGACCTAATTTTAGTTTTTCGCGTACACGTCCTTTTAATTTAAAGTTTTTTTTTTGTGGATATTTTCATAAGTTTCTTGATTTGTTTGTGATAGGACACGTTAATACTATAATAATAATTGTGTTGAGGAGGTGGTGTGACTATTTGTGCGAAATTTGACGCTTTCTTTTACTGTCTTGTATTTTTTATTTGTGATAGGACTCGTTAATAATAGATAAGTGATATTTAATAACTTAGTGGTGTGTCAGCCCGTGCGCAATTGGACGCTTTTATTTTTTTAAACGTATAACTTTTTTTATTTTAAAATGCCTCGTATCAATTTTACGTCATTGGAATACACCGATATGGTTTTAATTTATGGAGAATGCCACCAAAACGCGTCCCTGGCATTACGAACATACCGAGAGAGGTATAATACCACACGTGTATGTCCTACAGACTCACGGATTTTTATACGGGCAGTCCAAAGATTACGTGACGGCGAAAATTTGATTCCACGTCAGGTTGAAATTCCTCCGCGAGTCGCCGTGGCTCAGGAAGAACGAATATTAAATTATTTCGCTCGTAATCCAACATCAAGTCTCCGTAGAGCAGCTCGCCAATTCTGTGTACACCACAAGTCTGTTCACAGAATATTAAAAAAAACAAGCAACGGCCGTTCAAATACGTAAAGGTACAGGCTTTATTAGATAGAGATAAACCAGTTAGGGAAGCCTACTGTGAATGGCTCCTGAGCAAAGTAGCTAATGACTCTAACTTTTTAGCAAACGTAATGTGGACTGACGAGAGCACATTCACGCGTAACGGAATATGGAATCGGCAGAACTTACGATACTGGAGTCAAGAAAATCCGCAACTGTGTCGAGAGTCTATGCACCAATATAGATTTGCCGTTAATGTTTGGGCTGGAATACACGGAGATCAAATAATTGGTCCCGTGTTTATCGAAGGCAACCTTAATGGGCCTAAATTTTTGGAACTGCTTGACGACACAGTGGCGGATTACGTTGATGGACTATCGTTGGGGGCCAATAGCCGGTTATGGTACCAGCTTGATGGAGCACCTGCTCATTCAGTGGTGGCTGCCAGGCAGCGCCTCACTGAGATGTTCGGAGAGAACTGGATTGGCAGATACGGACCTTCTCGGTGGCCAGCACGGTCTCCGGATCTAACACCGTTAGATTTCTTTTTATGGGGTTACATAAAAAATGAGGTGTACTCTACTGAAGTAACGACTGTCGAGGACTTAAAAATAAGAATAATGCGGGCTTTCGACAAAATAAAAAATTTTGCAGCCAATGGTGCCCTCTTTCGAAAAGTCCGAAATAATATCATGCGACGATGTCAATTATGCATTCGGGCACACGGCGGACATTTTGAAAATTTAAAAATTTGATTTGTTTCATAAACTTGAGTGATTTCAAGGTTAAAGTGATTATTTGGATAAAAAAATACCATGAAATTTGTGATTTGTTGATAACATCGGATTAGCATCGCCCTACGCGTGCCTAATTACCAATGTATGGGCAAGTCCTAGGACCTAGGTATTATAATATAATTACCTATATCGATGTCGCATGAGCAATGAACCGCTGGCCGCGACGTTGCCGCTTCTACAAGTCATTTCAGGTCAGTTAAGTAATATTATCAAGGATGATTTATTTTATGTGATTTTTTACCCTATTTATTTTGTTTGAAAGATGCATTTTTTATTAGTTTTTATTATTGTTTATTTTATTATTTTAACAGACATATATCAACTTGTATTAACTGTTGTGCTATTTAACGTGATAACCTGGGGCGCCACCCAGTATAAGTACGTGTTTATGTAATATATGTGCAATAAAGAGTATAAATAAACAATAAATAAGCGCTGGATTTAAGTTTGAACAAACTGCGTATTTTGCCAAAATCACAGACTGGACTCGTCGACATTGGTGTTTAAAAAAAGCGTATGGTTATCTTAGGACTACGCAATTCAAGGATGTGCGGATTCTGTTCCTTAACGGAAGTAACACTTCTAAACATCCTGATTGCAGATCCTTATTGCGCAAACATGGCACTAATTTGGGAAATTATGTGCTCAGTCCAAAAGAAGTGAAAATGCTCACAGCTTAAAAACTCCTCCAATTTATTGAAGTTTAGCAGTTAATTATAGCTATAAAAGCAATCACAATAGATCACTAGTTACAGTGAGACTGATCTTGCTAGATCGGTATAGCTACTCGCACAATTTAAAAAAAATTAAACACAGCTGTTGCTATTAGGCGACAGAAATAGGTAAAAAGATGGTATCTACCCAGACGAACTTCAAGATAGAAAAGAGTTCTACTACTTAGTTGTCTTACATGAACATAAGTGTCGTAAATAAGCAAGTTGACTGACCGGCACCGGCGGGGTTGTTGAGGAAGGTGACGTAGCTGTCCTGGTACTCGGTGGCGGGCTGTGCGGGCGCGGCCGGGGGCGTGTGCGCGCCGGGCCGCGAGTCGCGCGAGTCGCCGTCGCTGCAGGCCGCGGCCGCCGTCGCGCCGCCCGCGCCCCCCGCGCCCGCCCCCGCGCCCGCCTCCTTGTGCGTGTGCGTGAAGTGGTACGTCAGCCCGGGACGCGTTTTGTACTTCGCTCCGCACACTACAAATTACCGCCCGTTGTCAATTGGTGGATGTTTTCACAGTAAATTAATTATATACGCGTCTTTCTAAAGATATTTCAAACGCATATAATCGTAAATAAAGTCTATTTAGATTAGAGTAAACAAGGTTCGATATTCTCATTTAGAGACATGAAAAAACGCCTACGGCCTTGCTCATAAAAATTACTTTTCTCTCTCTCTCTCTCTCTCTCTCTCTCTCTCTCTCTCTCTCACTCTTCACTATATATCTTTGGGCCACAGCATTCACTTCCCATGTTATATATTTTGAGCTCGTCTATCACTCTTATTGTATATAAAACTGGTCGTTTAAAAAAAACTAAAAGAGAAGCGTTTCAAAGATCTTTAAAAAAGAGTGAAAATTAAATTAATACTCACCATCTGTGGTGCCTCCATCTGCCTTTTGCTCACATGTTTACGCGATAAAACTTAACCCGAATAGAGTAAAAACGATATAGATTTTTATAGGGATGATGAGAGGTCTGCGTCATAAGAACAGAGCATAGAGGAGGCACCACGACGGCAACAGATGTGTAACAATGTGACGCAGTTTTCCATTATCATCCGTCATCAATCAATTACCTTATATATTATATATTAAAGTGTAATATGTACAAAAACAGTCAAAGTGACATTTTTGTCACCCTCGATGACATTTATCGATTAATAAAGCCAGTTTTCCAGTAAAATAATAATTGGATTTTTGAAAAAAAACTTGATACTGAAATATCTTAAGAATATTTAACTTAAAACTTTTGCATTGATGGCCCGTCGTGATCAGTCTATGTTCAGTTCTAAAGACGCAGCCTCTCATGAATAAGTTTGATTGATGACTTCAAATCAATGGATCTGCTCTGCTACAAAATACGATTAACAAAAAATGGACACGGAATAAATTTATCGGAACAAATAAAGAGATCCAAACTTGAAAGTCCAATCAAATATAAGGAACATAGAGTACAATAACCAGTGGAATGAGGACGTACGCATATAAAGATATAAATAATAACTAAGACTGGTAAAAAAATTCGTCACATAACAGTGTGGTCGCCCCTTTATGCCTTCTTTACTGGTCATTGTACTTCGTGATTAGGGAGCTCTATGACTGACAGAAAGAAGATCTTTTATTATGTACTTAATGAAATAAGGTAATACATATGTGAAAAAATCGTAGTAGGCCCTCACGATACAGACATGCCTAGTGTGGGGACCACAGAACTCCACACCCTAGTTTATACACTCGAACTTAGTTGGTGTGATAAGATCATAGATTATAAAAAGAAGTTGCATGGTTTTTTTTTTTTGAAAGTTTACTAGAAAATTATAAGAAAAATAAAAAAAAATCATGTAATTTTAGAATTAAAAATGATTTTTCTAAAATGTAAATTCAAACGCCAGTGATGTCATTATATCGCTTTAGTAACACCACCGCATGGTGAAATGATAAAACACTCATGTTTACGTTGTCAAAATTAAAAAAAAATTCATTGCATAATACAGGTTATGTTTTGTTATGACACATTGTGATACGAATATAGAAAATACAAAAGTATAGCACGATTGTAATTGGCTCTATTTTTTAATAAAAATTACTAAAAAAATGGTATTGTTAATAATTTTTTTAAATATACTTTAAATTAATTATTCTTTCATTTATATATAAATTTATGGCATAATAAATTAATGCAACTTCTCTATTATACACTAGAAAAATAAGACTAGCTTACTTCCCTTTTATTAACTTACATTGTATATTATAATCAGTACCCGCTTAGTTGTATAAATAACATTTTTAATTTCTTTTTCACATATATATTAACACCTAAGCAGAATATAAATTCATTCAATTTTTGTATTGTCCTCACAAAAGACATGTTTCTCTCAATCATTGAGCAATTAGAATGTAATAACTAATACTATAAACAACAACAATGTTACCTTAGACAGTTTTATTTCTTATTCAACATAAATATTTTTGTATAAATTCATAACAATCTTTGGGTGCTAATAATAGTTTGTATCTAAGAACAATATCGAATCCCTTATACTTCACTGCTTCATTGTAAACACAAACTTATTGATTACTTTTAGCCAAACTTACTAACATTATTATAGCAATGACTAAAATTTTACCCTAAATTGTATTCAACGTAGCATAATAAATGCAATAACTACTGATAATATATGTGTGTTAGATAATACACAAAGAACTAGTAAATTTAGCTTTACTCGTCTCTTTGATTAAGTCCAAATAATAATTGAAATAACTATTACTTCTGTTTTTTCTTCTTCTAAAATTTGTCAAAAATACAGAAGCACATATATCAAGTAATATTTAAGACAGTAGGTTATGGTACTGCTGGGATGACCCTAAACTCGCGGACACTTATGTAATTTATAAATTATTCGGACTATGCGCAAAAAGCCACGCCTAGGTTTACTATTACTAGTCCTTCGGTCCTTAACACATATAATGAATATAATGCATCATAATTATCAACATTAATTAGACGCTTTATTCTTAATTAGACGACACATTAATAAAACTACAGAACACAAACACGAAACATTTACAATATGAAAACCGACACAAAACTTCCACCACACATGGATCATTTCATCAATTTTTTTTTTTAATGGAAGACAAACCATTCCGATCATTCCAGATTAATTAATTTTCTTCAACGTGATGCACATATTTATGCCTATAGGTAGTGAATACAATCTCGGCATAGGCACAATTATTGAATGCTACAAAAACTTTAGCCATTGCGAAAAGAAAAGTAAAATCCTAAATCTTAATGAAAAGTTATAAGCAAATATAAACATGAAATAAATAGACTATCACAGACACATGAGTCAAACACATTCAAACCAATCAGTGCGCTAAGATTATATGATATATAGTGATATAAGAGTTGTGATTATTTCATAAAACTTTCTTTAGAATTAAATTAATGTGTAGGATCTACATGCAAACGAAATTGCACATCTGTAAGTCTGATTAATTACATAAGTTGTTTATAATTATAATTCTTAATTTAACAATACTATAATAAAAATGAAAACCGAGACAGTAGGCTTGGGTAAAAAATATCGATATATCGATATATCGATATTTATTTTAGAGTATCGAATTCGTATCAATTTCGATATATTTTAAAATGTATTATTACATCATTCAAATGATGACGATATATCGATATTTATCACGCGATATATATCGATACTATTTAAAAATATAGATTCGATATATATCGATATATTTTTTCCCTTTGCCCATCCCTACGAGACAGTACTAAATAGAAAAACTAAAAGGTTACTAATTTTAATGTAATTCAAAAATATTTTTTCCAATATATTTTTTTAAATGTTTTGAAAATAACACTTGATTTGTGGCAAAAAAATATTTATTTTATTTCAAGGATTTACGTTAGTGTAAACCAATGAAAAGCAGTGTAAATTTGAATAAATTGTAGATCCTAACTCTTTATTTTAAGTGATCCATATTGAAATGTTTAAAACTAAAACTTTTTGACTAAACCAGTAGTCTTATATTTTGGCAGACACCGAGAATTTAACTGCGTAATATGATAAACTTACATAACAATATAAAAACTTAAGGTATACACACGGAGCAAATGCTCCGTAGGTGGATTCGAATATTATATAAATGTTCACCGTGTAGTGGCGGTGTAAGAATATCCCCATATCGTCCCGTGGGTGTCGTAAGAGGCGACAGAAGGAAACAAATAGTAAGATGGACAGCAGCGTCTTCCTGTTGACGACTATAAATAAAAACTGCAGTTGCTAGCCCGCTTTGGCAAATATCCTTCTATGAGACAATCTATGGGAGAGGCCTACGTTGCCAGTTTACTTTTATAGGCTGTAATTTAATAACTTTAAAGGCCTCTCATATCAGAGAAGATTTTAGGGCAAGCAAACGACCGCATGGCATAGGCACATGGGCATAGGCCTGCTATCATTTCTTCGACGGTTATTAGAGCTCGTCAGTTTTATCTGTAGCCCTAAATTATTTACCATTTAATTCGAAATACCTATGTATTATTTTATATTTATTAAACATTTCAATATAGATATTAATCTTGCCTATACAAGTTTATTAATAGAAATTATTAAAAAAAAGTGACTATCCTACTCTATGAATATCCAAACAATTGTTACATTGTGGCAGTGTGTATTTTTATTTAATATTAATCTATTTATTTTAAATGTTGGTTTAAGATTTCATTTACGACCCTTTATTTCGAAAATTATGTTTTAATTTTAATGTAAATATGACCTTATACTGTTCAAATATTTCTTTAATTGACTGATTTTTCATATTGGCAATTGTATATGTAAATTACAAAAATGTTTGTAATGAATAGTACTAATTCACTACTACAACTAAAATCATTAAAGTTGTTAATTCTAATATAGGGGAACTGTGACTTAATAAACAAGCATGGAGAACAATGCAAAAAGATCTATTATTTTGATTTCTTATCACTTCGCTAAAGAAGTACATAATATAATTATAGTATCATATATTGTTTAAAAATAAAATTATGTGTATTATCTTCTAAATCAGAAGAAATAGACACGGCGATGTTTAAATACAGTGATATTACCTAGAGTAGTGGTTAGTAGTATTGGGTGTAGTGGTGTTGGGTGCAGTGGTGTTGGGTGTAGTGTTGTTAGGTGTAGTGGTGTTGAGTGTGGTGGTGTTGGATGTAGTGTCTTGTGAGTAGTGTCACGTGCACGCAATCATCGGGGAAGGTGTCCACTGGGTAATACACACTATTTTATTTACATCTCCATTTATATTATTAGACACATTTGCATTATTCTCCACGCAATTACATAACAAAGCGCAAAAAAAAAAGATAAAGAATAGTCCTATGTATCCTACACATAAATGCATATTCAATGATATCAATTTATTAAAATTATTTAAAAGTGAAGTATATATCCAAGAACCCTCTAAAATTGTTACGTGAAAACACATCTTTAGGAGTTTCAGTCGGGTCTTACGATTGATGTTCGAATTTTTTCTAAAGGTATTTTTGTCGAGATTCCCATACTCTAAAACTATACGAAAATATGCATGTAATAAATTTACACAACAATAAAAGTGTTGTATGTAACTCTTAAAAGCAAAACCTACATTAATAAAGTGGAGTACACTAGTTACTCAAAATTTAATTACATTAAGATTTAAGTTAAAAAAAATTATATTCTTTAATATTCCAAAAAGAGATTTACAAAAGAAAGTCACAACATAATTCTGACCAGAACCAATTTTTCAAGAAACGTATTTCACTAATTCAATAATTTTAGTGTAAAATTGTTGTCCATAAAATCCATAAAATTTGTGTTTTTAAAACTTTTGGCAAATACTTATTCATACAAAATACCTCAAACTCCACTATTTCATCCTTGCCTACTTACATTTACTATGACATATAGGACTGTCTGCTGCCCGTGTAAGGCAATGACAATACGCATCTGAAAAGGTTTTTTTTAAATAATTACCTTAGCACGAACTATTCGAATTGTTATCCATGATAGTTCGTCTAAAATCTTGCAGGATTAATCCTATTTGAAAAATAACAAATTACTGGGGATATTCCTTTAATCTTAAAAAATATGCCATCTGTTCTAAAATAACATGCTTAATATTATTTTCAAAGAACTGAAACATGTATTTGCTGATAAAAACTTGAAATCACTTTTGAAACTAATTTGTGTTGCGTTTTCTATATCGATAGAAAAAAATATTCATTAATACCATTAAGGCTAGTTTAGCTCCATTTGTAAACTGCTTAAAGGCCCTTTTAAAAAAAATTGAATTAAGTTGCAAAAAAAATACAAAACGCAACGACTTCCATTGTCGTAAAGTAACAAACTTTATATTTATTTGTGATACGTCGATACCTGTGATATTGAATGACTTATTTTATTGATAAATAAAAATTTACATATAAAACCACAAGCTATAGAATTATATGTTATACGATGCACATGCTAATTATGGAGATTAAAATTTTTGACATATTCCTAAATCATAATATGCGCTATTCAAAACAACTGTGAATAGCATGTTATAGTATCTTAAAATACTGAGAAATTATCTAGAAATGCAAAAATATTACATCATTAAAAAAAATTATGTTATTACAGACTATGAATGTGATGAAAAAAAATGTTTATTGCACTACATAGAAATTACACGTTGACCATATATTTTTTTAAACATGATCCAAATGTTACTGATGTAAATAATTATAGAAAATTTTTATACCTTACTATTTCTAAAGTTTTGATGAAATAATGATTATTATACAAAATTCAAATCAAGACATAAGCTTTCACGCTTACAACCATAAATATAATGTAAATGACAAAGTCGTAAAACCCAGGTCCTTTTGCAACAGAGTTAGTTTTCTATTGAGCAAATATTACTACTATTTTCAAGAGATATCTCATTCCTGTATTTTGAGACAAACATGTCACTAGGACAATATTCTATGAGTTTTTTTCATTATATCTAATGTGAACAAAATTTATGCACTCTAATAAGAAAAAAGTTTTTACTTAATTTCACTTTCTTTAGAACATTGTATTAGTGCATTAAGATGACAGTACACACAGTATTCTCAATTAACAAGCAGTACATTTTACATTAAATATACAATCGGTAATATATATTATATATAGAAGATTTAAAAAAAAAAGAAATGTTTAAAAAAGTTTTCAATAGGTACTTACTAAGTGACAGTCGTAGTGAGTTCTCGTATGTTGCAAAACTTAATTATATTTCCTTGGATTAGATAATATAAAGAAAAAAAAAATCCCCTCGTAAAATATAAATTAAAAGTTTGTGATGTCATAACTGGGGTAGGAGTTACAGATAGTTCAGCTGTAAAAAGGGTAAGGTTGGGGGTTCAAAAATCATAAAATTTGTATGCACATACATTATGAATTGCAGCAAAATAATAGCTATTTTTCACCAGAATTTTCTCCTGTATCGTGGGGGCAGTTTACATACATAAATTTGCACAAGGACAAACATCCAGACCCGGAACAATTATTTGTAGGCCATACAAATACTTGTTCCGTGCGGGTTTCGAACCCGCGGCCCTTGGTGCTGCAACTCATTGGCACTGCGCCACGGAGCCGTAACCTAGTATTATTATTGATTTTATTATATGAATAATTAAAACAATACACATTTTGAATTATGTATTGAGTTATCTATTTCAACATCTCTAAAGGCCATATGATAAACAGCCTCATATTATGATAATTGTAAACAAAGCAAAAATATTATTTATAAAATGATTAGTGTGCATAAAACAATGAAAATATTAAGATTTTAAAAAATAAGTAAAAAGAGAATACTACACACACAGGTGATAAGCCTAGGGGGCCGTCCATTAATCACGTGAGGCTCGAAAGGGGGGGAGGGGTTTGGCAAAAATCACAAAATATCACAAGGAAGGAGGGGGTGTAGTAAGATATCGCGTGTATTTATTTTTTCGTCGAACTTTTGATCTTCAACAAAGCACAGTGCCAACAACTGACTTGCAAGATGCTTATCCAGTTGTTAATGTTGAAGAAAGTCTTGCTAATCCATGGTTCGAGGACAATGTACATTAAATATGTTCATGTACTAGTACAATATATGTTTTTCGCATGATTACACCATTCCTTTAATATTATTTTTATGCTAGCCAAAAACAACCTGCTAACTTTGTCTGGACATTTTTATCATGATTCTTAATTTCAGAATAAAATTAGATTATACTTTGAATTCCTGTATTTAAAGATAATATTCTAAAAATTTTAAGATTCTTTGTAGGTACTAAAAATACACGTGATTGGGGGGGGTTAAAAATTCTTAAAAAACATCACGTGATTAATGGACGGACCTTAGATTGGAACACAGAGATTTACAAAAATTAAAAAAATTATACAAATACATTATATTAATTGTGTTTGTGTGTGTTTGAGCATTATTAATTAATATTTTAGCATCTTACCACATATGGTTAATTTAGAAACTCCATAGAACTTATTCAACTGAAGACAATGGTAATAAATATAAATATTATAAAATAATTTGATAGATTAAAACGTGAAAAAGAAAATTATTTACTTTCTTTCCATTCAATCAAAGCCAACCTCCACAAAAACTATTTATAAGGCACTATAAACATTTTCTTTCAGTACAAAGTTCAATATCTATCGATCTCATTCAAGTCATCTTTAAATAAATTGAGACTACTGTGTATACAGCATTTAAAATATTGCACTCAAGGCAAGACTTCTATAAAATACTAACTGAACTTTAAGCTCTCGATATGGTCACTATTTTTTACACATGAGGTCAGTCTATAAAAGTGATATTTGGTATTACCATGTGACTTTCAACCAGTATCATTGCATGCATTGCATATTACACAGCTAAATGCCTAAATAAAAATGACGTGGGTGTATATATAGCTACGAAACAATATAAGAATCTGCCCTTATTTTGATATAGCCAGTGTAAAATGACCTGACATGCAAATTGGTGTGACAAGGCTACATTATTATCAGTATATACAATATTAATCAATGAACATAAAACATTTTTCATCCCATTATCGCGTTCGCCATTTTATCTATCTATAATCCCCTGTCTCATAGCCATTGTGAAAATAAAGTGTCACTGTCAGTTCTTAGTAAATGATTTATTCAGTGTATATCTTTAATGATGTAATTCTTCTGTACGTGTGTTTTTCACTGAATTGACGAAGAAGTGGTTTACTCTCTTTAGCAGTTAGATCAATTATAACAAGTATGACAGCAAATCCGTCCAAGTCTACTTTGGGGATGACAGATGTTTATCGATGAATAATAGAATATCGATTTCTTAATCTCAATAATGCAATATTTAAAATACTGTTAATTGATGTAGCAGTATTTTACATATTGCATTATCACGAACGCATATAGGTTAATATTATATTGCACATATGGGACATCGGCACGTCGTTTAAGTTTAGACGAACTTTATTATTTAATATAACTAAGTTAGAGATAGTGGGATAACTATTGGGTTAGTCAAGTATTGACTTACTATAATTGTTATTGCTAATAGAAAACTATAAAAATGAATATTAAGTTATGTACAGTCAAGCAACATTACATATGTCACGAGATATGTCATTCCCATTTGTTTTTACATTTTTATTAAGTCACTTTTTTGTTTGTCTGTCGTTCCAGGTGGAATTTAGTAAATGATTTCAAACTAACTTGCCGACGAACTGCAAACGTGAAATTATGAAAATAACTCAAATTCGGATGACAATGAAAGAATATGATAAAAAAGATGATATAATTTTTTTATTTTCCTTAAATATGTCACTTGTTATAGTTTTCTATATGCATTAAACGATTGTAGAAAGTCAATTTGACTAGTTCCGCTGTTCTCACAATTGTGGCAATCATTAGCTCATACCTAATGTTTTAGATTCAAGATTTTTCAAGTCAAAAATATTATGTGTATTTATTATTTACATACTTCCCTAATTCATACTTTGATTACTTGCATCATTAAGTAAACTGCATTACTTAGATTTTTAAATTGTTTGATTAATGTTCCTATTTTATGGTAATTTATATTCCATTTTCCAATTTATCAAAGGCCACTTTAGTGAAACATACATACATACATATTAGTTAGGAATTCAGCCGCAATTGCTGTCGTACTGATTGATATACAGACTAAATATTATTTTGTCCCTACATAATAAATAGGACCTAAGGGTTAAGGCATGGAGCTAGTGTTTCCTTCTGGTGGACTTACGTTCACATCCATATGGCTTCTCTGCGTCGCCGGGGACTTCATACGGTAATGTGCCTTGACCAGCCCGCTTGCGGCCTCGACCCTACACCAATTATAGAAAAAAATGTTAAGCATGCATTTTATTTCAGTTTAGTGACAATATAAGAGAAACCATGGCAATATGTCATACCATGGGTATTGTAAGAGGCGACTTAGGGAAAAGTCTAGAATCAAATCAAATAATTTATTTCGCTAAAAACATGGGTACAGACAGATGGATACAGAGTCAATATTTGTTTCCACATATTTTGCCATTCGTGGCATGCGAAAAAAAAAATTTTTGCCAACAACTACCGTCATATTATTTTTTATAGGAGAGGGGGCAAACGAGCATGCGGCTCACCTGATGGTAAGTGACTACCGCCGCCCATGAACAACTGCAACACCAGGGAGGGAATTGCAGATGCGTTGCCGGCCTTTTAAAAAGGAGTACGCTCTTTTCTTGAAGGCCCCTAAGTCGTATCGGACCGGAAAAATCGCTGATGGTAATCGATTCCACAAGGAAGTCGTGCGAGGAAGAAAACATCTTCTAAATCGCACAGTGGTGGACCGCCAATCATCCAGATGGTATGGATGGTATCGGGAGTTCTGCCGCGATGTGCGTTCGTGAAATTTGGCGGCTGGGATTAATCCGAACAATTCCTCAGAGCACTCCCCATGGTAGATGCGAAAGAAAATGCAAAGGGATGCAACATCTCTTCGCAGTGCCAATGAATCGAGCCGATCGGAAAGGGCTCGGTCGTCGACGATTCGAGTCGCTCTGCGCTGGATGCGGTCAAGTGGAAGGAGCTGGCACTGGGGAGCCCCTGCCCAGGGATGGGAACAGTATTCCATGTGAGGCCGAACCTGCGCCTTGTAAAGTTGCAGGCGGTGTGCCGCCATGAAATACTGTACCGCTCTGCTGAGCACGCCAAGCTTTTTAGAGGCCAATTTGGCCTTGTCTTCTAAGTGACCACGAAACTGCACGTCACTCGATATGTCGACTCCGAGGATACCGATACTGGCTGAGGTAAGAAGGGGAGTGCCTTGAAACTGAGGAGATACGACAAAGGGGTTCTTTTTAGCGGTAAACGCGCAAACTTGTGTCTTTTGGGGATTAAACTGGACTAGATTTAGTCGGCCCCAATCCGAGACTTTGTTCAGCAAAGACTCGACTTCAGACAAGTTTGTTCCGATACTCGCAGACGTTTTCCCGAGAAATATTGGCACGGCCGGTGTATAGAGCATCACCAGTGCTGCCATCCGCATAGCAATGAATGTTACCAGTTAGCAACATATAATTGATATGCAGAAGAAACAGCGATGGTGATAGCACACAGCCTTGTGGAACACCAGCGTTAATAGGCTTGTAGTCAGAACATGCACCGTCTACAGCGACCTTGATGCTCCGATCTGCAAGGAAGCTTGTGATCCAATTGCACAATTTCTCGGGAAGCCCATAGGAAGGGAGCTTCGAAAGAAGCGCTTTGCCAAACCCGATCGAAGGCCTTCGCAATGTCCAGACTAACGGCCAACGCCTCCCCGTTGGACTCTACTGCCTCCGCCCATCTATGGGTCAGGTAGACCAGAAGATCACCAGCTGATCGACCCCGACGAAAACCGTATTGGCGGTCACTAATCAGCTGGTGATCCTCAAGGTACCGGATGAGCTGGCAGTTAATAATGGATTCCATTATTTTGGAGAACAAGGAGGTGATCGCGATAGGCCTATAGTTGGACGGGTCTGAGCGGTCGCCTTTTTTTAGGGATCGGGTGGACAAAACTGTCTTCCATGAATTCGGGACTACGCCTTGGGAGTAGGAGTACCGGAAAAGACGCGTTAGGACCGGTGCCAACTCCGGAGCACACGTCCTCAGCACAATTGGGGGGATTCTGTCAGGCCCACTCGACTCCTGGATGTCCAGGGAGAGAAGCGCTTTGCGAACCGAGCGCTGTGAGAACAGCACATCCGGCATGGAGCACTCACACCGCGGGATGGCCGGCGGTGTTTTCCCCCCGTCATCAAGAGTCGAGCTGGATGCAAAAAGGGAGCCTAAAAGGTCGGCTTTGTCTTTTGCGTCTTGGGCCAGTGAGTCGTCCTCCCTGTGCAGAGATGGTAGTGATGGCTTACAGAAATTCCCTTGGACAGCCTTGGCGAGAGACCAGAATGTACGGGTTCCCGAAGGAAGGCGAACTAGTTTCTCCCCAATTCTGGCTTGATAACACTCCTGCTTACTGCGTAATGCAGTCTTACAGTAGCGACCAAACCAAGGCTGAGATCTGCCTCCGATGGGTACCACAGTGACAGAGTCAGCAACAGCGCTGGGATCATCTGGCGAGAAGCAAACCCGCCACAATGGGTAGGAAGCAAAGAAAGACCGCATTCCGTCCCAATCCGCCGACCTGTAATGCCAAATACGGCGGCAACCTGCAAAACGCAACCGCGAGGGGAGCGTGAGTGGCACCACACTCCGGATCAGACAATGGTCCGAAGAGCCGAGAGGGGCATCGACGGAAACCTGATATCCGTCCGGATGAGAGGTCAGCAGAAGGTTCAACAGGGAAGGTGTATGATCCTCCACATCTGGAATCCGCGTAGGCGAAGTAACCAGTTGTGTCAGACCATATGCCAAGGCAAAGTCATAAACAGATCTCCCCGCATGATCGGTTAAACGTGAACCGAGCCATTCGGCGTGGTGGGCGTTAAAATCGCCAAGGATCACGATCTCTGCGGATGGGACCTGTTGTAGCATGGAATCTGTAGCCATTTGGACGTGGTCGATGAGTCGGTCTGTTTCGGCATTACCACTATGGGACCTATAGAGGCACCCGTAGACGCGCGGATGGTCGTCGCTGTCTACGCGTAACCAAAGGATGGACAGGTCCGAACCTTCAAGACTGCCGAGGCGTCGAGAACAGATGTCCTCTCTGACATACACGCAAACTCCAGCCCGAGGCACAAAGGTGTGCTCCAATTTGTAACCCGGGTAGGAGAGATACGAAATATCAGCCGGAGAGGAAACCTGCGTCTCGGTCAGAAAGAGCAAGGCCGGCTTCGCCGTCTCGAGATGGTGGTGGACGGCGTTTAGGTTAGAGTGAAGTCCCCTGATGTTGCAGAAATTCACGGATAGCGTGGCAGGGGTCGCCTTGGTATTATTGCTCAGTTTGCCCCGAGCACTTATGTTTTTGAGCAGAATTTTGCTCCCCCCAGAATACGCGGGGCAGCCTGAGCACCCACGCTCAGGATTGGAATAACATGGTCGTGGATGCTCAGCGAGGGATTCTCCAGGGGTACTGGTACCCTCCTGGGGTAGTCTATTGTGTAATTCCGCTACCATGTTGATGGGGGGGGGGGGGGGGAATTAGGCCTCCGGCCACCTCCACTCACCAGACGAAACGCAGAAGCAGAGCTTCTACTTCACGCCGGTATTCTGTGAGGTCGTGGTACCAACCCGGCTCGAGCCGGCCCATACGTGCAACAGCAAAAACTGCTGCGTGGCTCTACCACCGTTAAAAGTCATAGGTGTGACATGGACATTAAACATGGTTTTTGTTTTGTCCATGTTCATCTTAAGACCTATCCGTTGGGACACACTATTAAGGTCATTGAGCATAGTGCTTAGGTCCTCCAGCGATTCTGCCATAAGACTATATCGTCGGCAAATCGAAGGTGAGTGATGTACTCGCCATTGATGTTGATACCGCATCCTTTCCAGTCCAGTAGCTTGAAAACGTCTTCCAATGCAGCGGTGAAGAGTTTTGGGGATATAACGTCACCCTGTCTTACACCTCTCTGCAGTTGGATAGGTTTCGTACTCTGATTCTGTACTCGGATAGCCATCGTAGCTCTACTGTACAAACACTTCAGCACTTCGATATACCGACAGTCAACTTGGCACCGCTGAAGGGACTGCAGCACTGCCCAAATTTCGAGGGAATCAAAGGCTTTCTCATAGTCCACATACGCCAGACATAGTGGCAAATTGTACTCTTCGGACTTCTGTACAATTAGCCGAAGGGTATGTATGTGGTCTATGGTGCAAAAGCCCTTTCGGAAACCGGCTTGTTCGGGAGGCTGAAAGTAGTCAAGACTGCGCACGAGACGATCCGTAATGACTCTCGAAAACAGCAGGTAGACGAGGCTCAGAAGGGAAATCGGTCTGTAGTTCTTCAAGAGAGCGTTGTCACCTTTCTTGAAGAACAAGACCACCGCACTTCTGCTCCACGCCTCCGGTGTAATGCCACCATGGAGAACGGAATTAAAGAGCTTCTGAAGGACTTCAAGTCCCGGTTTTCCAACTGCTTTCAGAAGTTCCGCTGTAATTCCATCCTCGCCTGGGGCCTTGCCATTTTTAAGGTGCTGGAGAGCCATTCTAATCTCGCTCAGACTGACGTCCGGGATATCTTCGGAATAGTGTCGGATAAGAGTCGCTCTTGGATCGTTACTCACACTTGCGTGTGGCTCCAACGATGACTTGTACAGCTGCCCATAAAACCTCTCAATCTCACTCAAAATCTCAGGTGTCCCGGAAACAATGCTGCCACACTCGGTCTTCAGCTTTGACAGTTGGCTCTTTCTGGCAGACAGATCTCTGGCAAAGACTTTGGAGCCTTGATTCCGCTTGATCGCTTTTTCAATACAAGCTGTATTAAAGTTGCGTAAGTCCCGCCGCATGCATTTGGAGATCTGTCTGCCAGTTGCCTGTATGCTGTCAAATCTGTTGAAGACTGCAGCTTCATATCCCGTCTAACAGCCATAAGATTAAGAGTGTGATCGGAGTTTTTGTGTTCTCCTGTGGCGGGTCTCGCAGAACTTAGCTCCAACCGCATGGACAGTTTCCACGAGCTTGTCATTCATATCGTCCACTTCATTGCAGTCTTCTAGGCACTGAAAACGGTTTTATAACTCGAGCTGAAAGGTTTCAGGACTTTGGAACAGAGCACGAGGGAGACGGAGCGTTGACTTCATTAGACGAGACCTCACCAACTTTACGTTTAGGTTAGTAGGTCCCTCTTTCTCCATGAAGTCAGCCAGCTGCTGGCCCCTTGGGTTTCGTTGCCCTATTCCAAATTTCCCTACTTTCAGCTCACCGTTCTCTCTTGTGCCTAGTTTTGCATTGAAGTCTCCCATTAACACCGTATATTAGGTTTTGGAGGAATGCATGGCTCTAGAGATATCCTCATACATTTCCTCCACCTCCCCATCGGGGTGTGCCGAGGTTGGTACGTAAGCCTGTATGACCTTCAGCGAATACCTTACCTATTCTGAGTATTAGCTACGCAACCCTCGTCGACACACCCTCAATCTTTACAACGTTGTTAACGAGAGACTTGTGGACGATAAATCCTACACCTCCTTGGGACAGATGGTCGCCCTCCCGGTGATAGAACATGTTGCCGGATTCGAGGATTACCGTGTCCTCCCCCTCTCTTTGGACCTCGGATAATCCTATAATATGCCAGCGTAACTTCTATATCTTTTTCCAGCTCCACGATCTTCTCGTCAGTTCTCAGGGTGCGAGCGTTGTATGTTGCCAGGTCGAGTCGTTTTAGATGGCAACCGAACCTCCACCGGAGTTTCTTAGCACCCCCTGCCCCGCCGTATCCATGGTCGCCACCGTAGCCAGGAATAGCGGGGCCGCCGGGGACTGGGGGCCGTCTCTTTGTTACTCTCTTCATTGGGGGTATTTGCCATAGTTGCCACGCTTGGCGAGCGGGTTGGCAACCGCAGTTTTTTTTATTGTACTTTTACTGTTATCAGGAAGATGCTGCTGCCCATCTCCTGCCTGTATCCCTTTGTCGCCTTTTACGACACCCACGGGAAGATATGGGGTAGTGGATATTCTCTACCGCCACTACACAGCAGCATATACTCATATAGTCGTATATATAGCATGATAATATAATAGTGGCTAAAACCATGTAATGCTAATTATAATGTCCCCCAGATCGAATTTGCCTTATGTGCAGGACAAGAGTATATTGCCCAAGTGTATTCTCTATTCTAATGGTAATCCAACACGAACGGAGAGAGATCAGGCACAGGACCAACTGTTATACATGCTTTCTGAGGCTCAGAGAACTTTCTAACTTAGGGCTACTGAGAATTTCTCAACTAATAAACCTAATAACTGATTTTTGCCTGACCCAAAACATGACAACAGACAAACTGAGACGTGCTTTACTGGCAATGAACCATTGCTTTCATCTTAAACTTAAGAGGTGACAACGCATCTTCATTTTGATTCTTGATTGATGATAGATGTATGTGTCTATGGGCTACAGTATACACTTACCATCAGGTTGACTGTCTGATCCTTTGTCACACTTCTCTTAAGAAACAGATAAGAGATATATGAAACACATAAGAGACATAATGGACAATAAGGCAGCATTGGAGACCTACCAGTTGATTAAACTGGTTACTTAATCTAAACTTACCGCGCGGCCTCGTTTTGGTGGGGCATCGTCAGGCTGCTTGTTGCCCCTCCGGCCACCGCGAGATCCTGGTCCAGTAGGTGCTACGCCTCGGCGCTTGCGACGGTTTGCGTAAGTGTCGTCATAATAATCTTCGTCGGACTCTGGATCAGGCTCTTCACCGGTTTCCATTTCTTCTATCGCAAGCTCGTCGTAAAACCATTCCTAATAAAAAAAAAATATTTTGATATTTCCAGTCAATTTTTATCAATTATGATACGAAAATATAAGTTTTAAATACTTGTACTAAGAGGTGAGTGCAGAGCCACTTCGAAAGCTCTGGTAATATGACTACTTATCACTTAATATTAAAAATATTTAATCAAAAGTCACACGATTTAATCAAATTGTCTTAAACCATACTTAAGTTAATTTTTTTTTGTTTCAAAATGTTACCTCCTACCTCCTACACCTTCACTAGGATTTACTGTTGTATCGTGGGGGCAGTTTACATATATAAATTTCACAAGGACAAACATCTAGACCCGGAACAATATTTGTAGGCCATACAAATACTTGTTCCGTGCTGGCAACTCAATGCTAAGCCACTGCAGCACGGAGCCGCTAACCACTTTAATTCTGTTGGTTTGGAATATAAAAATTGAAATATAACAAAAAAAATTAAGTCATTACAATCATCACCACCACCATCATCATTCCATCACAAGTCCACAGCTGAACATAGTCCTACCCCATGGATTACCACCAAAAAGTATAGTCATAAGCCACCTGCATCCATCAACTGCACAATTATTCATCAGAGTTGTAACTCCTCTTTTTAACCTTCGGCATACAACGTGGGGTGTTTTTAACCCCAGCTCCAGAAAAATACGTCCACTTGTAAGTAATAATCGAGGAATAACATTGAAATTCCCAGTAGCTGGGCGTTAAAAGTTGCCGCGTCGACTCGTGATCTTGGATCAGTGCTGCGCGGAACGCGCTCGTGTGTGCACGCGCGTATAGCGGGTCACGGTGTTTTTAACCCCACGTTGTATGGGACGGTGCTGAAAAGCCACTGCAGCACGGAGCCGCTAACCACTTTAATTCTGTTGGTTTGGAATATAAAAATTGAAATATAACAAAAAAAATTAAGTCATTACAATCATCACCACCACCATCATCATTCCATCACAAGTCCACAGCTGAACATAGTCCTACCCCATGGATTACCACCAAAAAGTATAGTCATAAGCCACCTGCATCCATCAACTGCACAATTATTCATCAGAGTTGTAACTCCTCTTTTTAACCTTCGGCATACAACGTGGGGTGTTTTTAACCCCAGCTCCAGAAAAATACGTCCACTTGTAAGTAATAATCGAGCAATAACATTGAAATTCCCAGTAGCTGGGCGTTAAAAGTTGCCGCGTCGACTCGTGATCTTGGATCAGTGCTGCGCGGAACGCGCTCGTGTGTGCACGCGCGTATAGCGGGTCACGGTGTTTTTAACCCCACGTTGTATGGGACGGTGCTGAAAAAGTATGTATGCAGTTTTATATTTCTTTGTTATTTTCAACCTTATTTTGGTTATATTTATGTAGTTTGTGTTTTGTTACAGTTAGAGTTTAATTAAGATGGCAAATAGGATGCAAGATGATGATATTGCGGCGGCTTTACTTGAAGAAAATGTGTCAGAAGACTATGAAAACTATCCCTCCGACAGTGATCATAATTCCGATCACATCAGCGAGGCGTCTGAATCTGATAGTGATACGGACATGGAAGACCCTGAACCTGTAGAAGAAACGCCTCTAACGCTACCATTTTATACAGGCAAAGATGGCAAAACCTAGTGGTACAAAACGCCACCACGGACCAATTTTCGAACAAAGTCTGAGAACATAATTACGCATTTGCCTGGGTGTAAACCTACTGTTCGTGACAAAAAAACACACTTGGAATGCTTTGAAATATTTTTTACAGAAGAACTTGTTGACATTGTTTTGAAGTATACTAACCAAAAGATTTGTTTGAGATTGAAAAACTCTGAACCTAATCCGTCAACCAAAGAAATGAACAGAGAAGAGCTAAAAGCTGTTTTCGGATTATTGATACTGGCAGGTTTATATAGATCTAACAGACAAAGTATTATAGATTTATGGGCTAATGATGGCACTGGTATCGAAATATTTAGAAATACTATGACTAGACAGAGATTTACGTTCTTGGTAAATAACTTGAGATTTGATGACGCATCAACGCGTACAGAAAGAGCTGCTATCGAGCGTTTAGCACCAATAAGAGACGTATTGGAAGTTTTCGTCAAAAACTGTCAGGATGCCTATACACCGTTTGAGTACTTGACCATCGACGAAGAACTTGTGGCCTTTAGAGGAAGATGTTTTTTCGGTCAATACATTCCTTCTAAACCAGCTAAGTATGGGTTAAAAATTTATGCACTAGTGGATGCAAAAACATTTTATACAATGAACCTGGAAATTTACTGTGGTAAACAGCCTGACAGTAGCCCTTACGCAGTGAGTAATAAGCTATTCGATGTTGTAGACCGTTTAGTTAGATGTGTGTCTGGATCTGGAAGAAATATAACAATGGATAATTTTTTTATGAGTTTCGAAACTGCTGAAAATTTTCTTCAAAACCACAAATTGACTGCTGTTGGTACCCTACGGTCAAACAAGGCGTGCCTTCCTACCCAATTCAAAGCCAAACGTGAAGAAAAATCGTCGATATTTGGTTTTCAAAAAGACATAACCATTGTGTCTTATATACCTAAACCACGAAAGTGTGTACATATGATGTCCTCATTGCACCATGATGATGAAATAGATCCAGAAAGCGGGACCCAAAGAAAACCATCTATTATAACGTTTTACAACTCGACAAAAAGTGGAGTCGATGTAGTTGACAAGCTTTCAAGAACATACGATGTTTCCCGCAACAGTAAACGCTGGCCACTTACGCTGTTTTTCTCCTTGCTGAATCATGCAAATATAAATTCTTTTATAGTACATATGTTCAACAACGAGATTGAAAGAAAGAAAAGCAATATAAGGAGGAACTTCATCAAGCAATTGGGAGTTTCATTGCTGGAAGATCATCTAAGAAAAAGAAAAGACAATCCTCATGTTCCTCGAGATATTAGAAAACGTGTGCACCAAATTTTTGAATGAAGAGGTTCCAGGTCCGCCACAAAAGCAACCAAGGAAGTCGCAAAGGTGTTCTTTTTGTCCAAGAAATAAATATAGGAAGACGTTGAACGGTTGTTTCAAATGCAATGTTGCAATATGTAAGGAACACGCAAATCTGATGTGCCAAAAATGTACTGATTTAGATAACGAATGATCTCGCTAGAATAGAGAAAAATAGTTATTTCTATATTTTTTTTATAATGTTACATATTTCTAGTTTTATAATATTGGCTTAGACTAAAAGCTCCTATTAATATAAAAGACCCATGTGATTTTTTTTAGATATAAGGAAAATTTGTTGAATTTTAGGAGAACTTTTGTATTTTGTGTTCTTTTTTATAATTAAAGTTTATTTTCTTAATTATTTTGTGTTTTAATTATTACTTTATAACTAATTAAGCCAAAAACCCTATCTAAGCCGTTGTATTTAAATAATACCCTTAATACATAGTATATTTACTAAGGGTTATTTTAACCCCACATTATACGGGTAAGGTTTTTTTTTCACCTTGTATGCCGAAGGTTAAAAGACTGCCCCCACACTGCATTTCCAGTACATTGCTGCCACTTGAGCTATATGGCCGGCACATTGCCATTTCAGCCTACTGAACCACAATTGTTATAATATGGTTGCATACAGTTGATAATAATTAATAAAATCATTAGTAAATAACCCAATAGGTGAGCTCAAGCAGTAACAACAAATCAATGGGCGAAAAGTAAATTCACCTTTGGATCATCTTTGGCAGCAGTCTGTGAGCCGTCACGGCTGTCTTCTCCAGCGAATGCATCCCCTGGTATTCCAGAACTATTTTCACCATCGCCAGCATTTTCGAAAGCGTCTAAAGCACTCCATCCCCAACGTGTTGAAGACATTGTCAGATACTGACGTCGAGCCTTACGCCATCTGTAGAAATCATAATTGATTCATGATTGAAACATGATTATGAAAATTCTATGCTATAAAATGGTTAATTTCTAGGTTCGGATATGTCGTGAATATGCGTGAATGTCAGATATGGCATCTATTCATTACTTTAATCTTATAAAGGATATCAGACATGGAAAATAAGTATTATTGTTTGCAATTTTCTACACATTTCCGGCACTTTATTGTACTTTATATGTGATAAGAAACACTAGCAATACTATTGACATAACTAATACTCCTGTTCTTCACTAGAAGTAAGTTTAAATGCTTGTGTTGGGAAAGATTTACAATAGAAGTCGAATGACAGATTCAAACTCACAACTTTTAAGTTTGCGGTCAGTACCTAGTATAGTACCAACCATAAACATCAGAGTTCAATATATATATAGCACATTATAGCATTAGCATCCCAAAATAATTACCTTTGTGAAGGATATGTGTACACCTGACCTTCTCTCGCACCAGGCATACGTTGTTTCCTCGTCATAAACAAATTGCAATGACTTTGAGCAACACCTATAAACACAACATTCTTTTTTAAATTATATTTTAAACTACACTATATTTAGTAAAATTCAAAGATGAAACACCACATTTTCTGTCATGTCATATTATAATCTACTACATGGCCAGTGGCAGTTATTTGGGGGGGTTAATTATTTTACTGATTTTTTTTATAGAACAGGGGTGACATACGAGCACACAGTCCAATTAATGGTAAGTGGATGCTGTGGCCTATAGACATCCACATTTACCCTTGATATCAAAATGCAGATGTGTTGTCACCCCTGAGGAATAAGATGGAATGCCTCATTTGCAATAACAAGGGTCTCCGGTTCTCTAAACTCACTATGCAAAACACAGCAGCATTAAGCTGCTATTTTACACTGGTATTCAGTGAGAGTGTAGTCCTATCCCGATTGAGCAGACTCATTTGTGCTACAACCATAATATGCAGTCCCTAGTCAAATTATTAGACGCACTATAAGATTCTATGTAAAATCTTAATTATCAGGTGATAATTTACAGCGTTATTGTTTTTACTAGATACAATGTCTGATTTATTATTATCCACATTATTATCTATTTTTAACACAAATAAAACATCATAGTCATAGAAAAAAATGTGTATTTATGAACTCTTGAAAAAATTTTAAATTAATGCAATAAAATGTTAATATTTTGTTGAGCCACCTTTAGCCACTATGAGACCTTCAATTCTGAGCATTTGAGAATGATGATCCCACACATGAATGATCTTTTCTAAGACTTCTCTTTCTCTTGTTTCTGATGACATCTTTAGTCACTTCTCTCTTCAACAGCCCCACACATTTTCAATAGGATTCATATCGGGGCTATTACCAATCCCAATCCAACAGAGGAATATTTCGCTCTTCCAAAAAAGCTTTAATAGTCCATGCTCTGTGACAGGGAGTTTCATCTTGCATAAAACTGAATGGTTCCCCATTAGGAAACCATTCTCTGAGCTGCGAAGTCCATTGATTTTGTAAGACTTCTTTGTACTGATCTTGCCTCATTATACCTTTTACCACATACAGACGTCCAGTACCCTTGCCGCTGATGTCTGACCAGATCATCACTTTTGTAGAGTGCTTAACAGTGTGAACAACACAGTCCGGATGAAACTTTTCTCCATGAAGACAACCCACAAACAGAGCTTTATTCTGCAAAATTTAAAATGTGCTTTCATCGCTGAAGCAGACTTGTCAAGAATAGCAAAAATTAATAAACATCCTAAAAATTTGTGCTGGTTTTTCTTTATTTCATAGAAAATTATATTTAATGTATAATTTGTGATGAAATTATACCAACTTACAGATCTCCTGCTCATCTTCATCATGCCACTATTTGGCCCACTTCAGACGCTTTGCTTTCATTGCAGCTGTTAACTTGGGTTTACTGGCTGGGCGGCAGGTCATAAAATCTAAGTATTTTAATTTTCTTCGAACAATGCGCTCAGAAACATTCACATTAGCATCTTGGAGTTGCAATTTTATTAGTTTTGTGATTGCAAATCTGTATTCCAGGTGAATTTTCTTTACACATATTTGTCCTTTGAGTAAACCGCATCTTTACAGGCTCAATTTGTCTCCTGACTCAATTTTCTTCTTTATGTGTCGTATGCTAGCATCAGAAACCATCAATCTCTGTGGTATTTCACAATTAAAAATATTTTAGCATTTACGAGGGCCTTTACTTCAGCTTTTTAACGTGTTGAACAAATGCCTTTTTAACCCATGATTAAAATGTTCCAATTGATTATTTAAACACTGTACACAAAATGAACAAATAACTGCGTAGTATAAAACGGCGAAAGAAATAAAAACAGCCCATAAAGCCACAGAAACATGTCCACAACTAAAGCATACGAGAACTTGACAAACTGATTTGTACTTGTTTCCTTTCGTGTGTCAATTGGTTAACATTGTAATACAATACATTAAAAATAAATACAAATAGGAAATATATAAAAAAATTAATAAAAACATATAACATGTATATTTAAATATAAAAATATTGCATAATTATTAAATATAATTATTAAAAAAACTACAGTGCGTCTAATAATTTGGTCAGGGACTGTAGTTGCAACTTGGCTTTAACAACAAAAAAGGTTAGTAGTGGCGATTATTTGTCTGGGACCATAATACTATATCAGGAGGATAAGGATGACCCTACCCACCATTACATCTGATTTGGCTTACCTTTAGATATGGTAGCTAATCTTAAGTACTTCTAACATCCTAATTTTAATAGAGAATGTGACTGGGTACTACAACCTACTTGGGATTCTATTTGCTTTTAATAAAATTATATGCAAGCCCAATCATATAGTGAGAGCGTAACTAAAGAAAATTTGTAGCATAATAATGTATGATGCCTGATTACCAGTTTGTGTGTCGATAAATGGCATTCGCATCCTTCTTTCCGCACATAATCGTGAGTTAAATGTCGATGAATTTTCAATAATTTCCTTGTAACTTGGATCATTGAGAAAACTGAAAAAACATTGGAAACGTAAACAAACATCATCACTGCAGTGAACGTATGGATTTATGGCATATACAAATCAAAGATTAAAATTAACAAACATATAATACAAGACGCATGATTAGAACATTATTCAAACCTTTCTATCTTTGCTAAATTAGATGGATTCACAACTTGTATTTCAGCGGCCGCCATTTTAATAAGCAAGGCGACACCTAAACGTAGTGGTTACTGGTTAATGGCTTGCTACATATATATTTATCTATGGTTAATGGTTATATTCTCTTTGCTATTGACGATCATAGACATGTCAATACTCTATCTACGTTGACGATCTCACATCTTCTTCTTCTTCTTAATAACTGCCTTTACGGCTCTGGGATCTAGCCCTTCTGAACCTGAAGTTACAATATTATATTATAATAATTATTCTTCATACTGCTTCACAATATGTTGATGCGTCACATTGTGCAGCCCTTGAGAGATTTTAACATAGATAAATATATATGTAGCAAGCTATGAGCTGGATTTTAACGGTAACTTGAGCCAGCAGACAGCTGACGGTTGGCGATGGTATCTCAAGCCGCCTAAGCAGACAGGCACCTTATTTTGAAAATCACATCACTATCAGAGCACTTATTTCACAGTTTCCACTAATAGTTCACATGTGCAGACAATTAATACACAAAATCGCACCACTTTTACATATCGAAGTTCACTTCAAACCATTATTTAAACAATAAAACAGCAGCAGCAAACCGCCGCCGGTCAAGTTCCCGTCAAAAACTCCGATCTCATATCACTCACATCACACTATAGACTTAGAATATACTGGCGTATAGACCAGCATAGTGTGGAAGGGAAAAGAAAATTCCTTATGGCAAAAATGCAAGATGGAAAAGGAAACCAAATCTCATGCTCTGTAACCGATTTTGAATGACAGATCGGCGCAATTCGGCACGCAAGAAATAGCTCCTAGATATTTTGTAATTTTTTAAAGTGTAATAGTGGTTATTTTTAGCAAGTAACATTTTTCCAAAACGTTTACTTGTTCAGTGAGTGATTGTGGTGTTAATAATAGGAATAATCCTGATAAGTAATTAAAAAATTAAAAAAAAATTAAAAATTTCACAAGTAATTCTCAAGACTACGTCAATGTTATGAAGCGTTTATTTTTTGTTAAAATATATGCTATATACTGTTTAAAATATTGAACGTTTTCAATTTTTTTTATTTTGTTATTTTACAAAGAAAAAAGTCACGTTGTTGATAATTTGCATGAATTTGATAAATACATTTTTATACAAAATATTTTACAAGTAGGACTAGACTTATTATTATTTAAACGATCAACTAAATTGCTTTCTTAATTAAGTGATGATTATTATATTACATTGCAAATATTCGTTTAGCAAACTTTAAATATTAATAGTTAGGGAGGTCTGAATACAAAGTCTTGACAGACACACGGTACATAAGTGAGTTTAATCGTATATTTGTAATCATAATTTTATATGCTGACTAACAATCCGCCCCGGTTTCACATGACTGTTTTCTAGATCTCGATAACAGCGCTACTTACCGGGCCCAATTGTGAGTGTGAGTGTTCATCAAAATCAGTCCAGCCGTTCTCAAGTGATGATCTTTCATACAGGCGGCAATTGATTTTAATTTATATAGATTTACCACTTGCTTAACGAAAAAGCATCGACTATATTCAACAAAGCTTTATCTGTTTGGATGATGCTGTGTAGCGACGGTGTAAAAGAAACCACTACCAAATAATATATTGCTGGGAATGAGGGTAAAAAAATAAAAGGAAATACGAACAAATGAAGGTACAATGGTAATCTCCCACTTGTTTTAGAAGTATAAAGTATCGCACAGGCGACTAAGAGGCATCAGTCGGTAATTCTAGGAGTCCCGCTGTCATTACTATGGCCGTTGGGGTATTCTACTAGTGTAGGCAAGGAAGATAGTGTTGCTGAGAGGCTGTCCTGTGTTACATTGAGATGGGTGGTGATGCTGTTGGTTTGCATACTTTGGTGTTATCATGTGATTGGTGTCCTGATAGTAAACAGCGTTTGTTACCGAGTAGTGTTCTTTTATTTAAATACTTTAGAGGATAATTTCTAACATCAGAAGTAGAATAGTTTCTTACAATATATTATTACCACAGTCTAACTACTACTGAAGGTCGGTCTTCGTAGGCGTCTAGACAGCGCAATCGTGCAGTGTGGTGTGGGGCGAGATGCGGGCTGAGCACGTACCACATGAGCACAGCACAAAGTGCTGTCGGCTACTGTCCGCTAGGGTTGTCATGTAGCGCCAATAAATTAAAATGGTTCACACTACATGTACGGTAAAAACTGTGGGTCATCCTCATTTAAAGATAGGAATTAGTTTCATCAGTTTCCACAATTACCTTTATTTGGTTACGTGAAATAAAATAAAATTTTATTACTTACCGTGCTGACAACCCTACCAACTTATTGTTTATGTCGTCTTTTCCGACAAAATAAAACGCGATGACTGACTGTAAGTTCTTCTTAGGCTGTGTTTTTACGTATAAGCTCTAAGGCCCCATACCATTCCGTAAGTATCGTAAAAGACGAAATGAAACAGGAGATAGGCAACAGTATCTTCCTGATAACGACTCAAAATATTAAAAATTGCTTTTGCCAAACCACTTGCTAAGAGAGGGAACTATGGCAAATATTCCCCCTACGTTCAGCAGTGGACTTTTGATAGGCTGTAATCAATGAATTAATGATGGATAATAACTTGAGGTAGCAGAGAGGAAAACGAGTAATACGTTCGTAATCGATTTATTGGTAGTTGTGATCAAGCGACAAAAGAGAAAGCAGACCGCGGTCGTGTCACTGTTATTGTACTATCATAGCAGTGCCCTGTGTGTACGTTCCGTGAAGAAAACCCGGTGTCGATTAAACAAATACAGTTATTATTCCATGTGAAACCCATAATAAGTCTAAGGATAATTTAGAGGAAGAATACCGGCTGAATTTAAGTAAATTTCGTAGTGACGTTTTCACGATATTTAAAACTTTTGTCTGTCGGTCTGTTTGTTTGTTTGTTCAGACTAATCTCCGAAATGGCTGGACCGATTTTGACGGGACTTTTACTGGCCGACAGCTGATATTATAAAAAGTAACTCAGGCTATAGTGCCACCAACTTATCTGTTCAGTTGACAGCGTCGCTAGTGGAGCGCTTACTATTGCCATTTAAGAAATTCACCGAGGAAATAGGTGACTACATATTCATTACACATAATATAAAATAAAACAAATTTCTTGTTAATATATTAAAATTAATGAGAATTAGTGTTATTATATATATTATTTATATTTTATAAAAATAATTGTGGTCGTGACCTCGGTGTTCAAGCGGCTGAACTCCAGGAATTTGTGTTTTGAAAGATGTACCCCCGCTAGCTACTGGTTCCAATAATTCATCTTCTGAGTCACTGGAGTCGCTTTCGATATCGCTCTGACACGCTATAATAAATACGCGTAAGGGTTCATCTAAATACGCGTATTTTAGTCTGTATTCATTTTCAAGTTTTTTATATGATTACAAATGTTTCAATTAATTGGGGCGTTGGAACATAAGATTTACCAACAGTCTTACAGTAGATTGAAATAATTTTTTTACTATGTTTCACAAGTACATTATTTGGTGATTTTAATTTTCCATATCTGGCAATACAAACCTGTCGCGGCAGCGACGCGTTCATACAGCTTTTCAAATGGTATAGTTGGGGCTTGTACACGTTTCTCGCCTTTCATAAAAGATAAAACTTTCAGGATATTCTGTCGCGCATCACTTTTAAGATCTTTAGGCATTTTATTTGCACTTTTTAAAAACACTCACCTGATAGCTCAGAATAAATAATAACTGACAGCGAAATGTCATTTACAAAATGGCGGCTTTAGTTCCAATTTTGTCCACCTGAACAGATAAGTTGGTGGCACTATACTTTAATTTAAAAAAAAAGAATTAGGGTTCCGAGCAAAAAAAAACCCTATTTTTTAGGGTTTTAATTTTTTTTCGCGAAACTTTCAGAACTTCGAACGCAGGCAAAGTCGCGGAGAACAGCTAAATTTTTGATAATGCCGTGAAAGTTATACAACGATAGTACGAAATTCTGCATTATCCGACTACGTTTTTGCTGCAAGATATCAGATGAAGCTTTCATAAACTTCACTGATATAAATAAATATTACGAACAGGACTATAGTGTATGCTGTGTATATATAGTGAGTACTTCCTTGAGCGGTGAGAGTATTTTTGCTAAGCTTTGGGTCCCGCGCCTACGTCATAGTAAACGAGTGAAGCCGGCCACAATCGAGCGAGTGCCTGCTGTACTGCCATATGTCAGAGGTGTCACTGACAAGATTGGCTATATCTAGAAGAAACACGCTCTTCCATTAAAACCTACTTCAAGCCGCCGAAGAAGATTAGTCAGTTTTTACCATCAGTCAATTGTAATGTCTTCTGGAAGATACAGGAGCGTACAAGCTTGATTGTGAATGTGGTCTCTCTTATATAGGACAAACCATAAGATCCATAAAAACCCGCGTTAAAGAACACATAACTAATGTGAAGAATCGACGCTCCGGGAAGTTTGCAGTCTGTAAACACGTACAGGAGCACTCCCATCACTAAATTAGATCTGATAGATCACAAATCCTCACTAAAGAACATCGATTCCTTCCAAGGATGATTCGCGAGGCTATTGAAATCAAAAAATATCCTAATTTCAATAGAGAAGATGGCTGGGTGCTATCATCTGCTTGGGATCCCATGATTAATAAAATTAAATTCCAACACAAACATACAACTGCAAGACTTCAAAATACTGTAAGTTCATATTGCGTAGATCGCAAGGAGGTCCTCCTTGGTAGATCGGAACAAAAATTAATAATTTTTAATCTGGAGGTAGCCGTGGTTAACTATGACATTGGGGCATCATATACCTCAGCCCCCGCTCCCTGGAGTTACTATACTCTTTGCCCCCCCCCCCCCATGACCATGGGTGCTGTAAATTGCTCGAAACGTCGGGAACATAAAATTAGTTAATATACGCGATAAAATCCGTAAAATTAGTTTTATTTAAATAACTAGAAACCAACTAAAACATTAACGCTGCTTAATTCTACTAGCGTGTAGATGA